AATGTACACAGAATGCAGTTGATATATATATTTTTTTGTCACACACCTAAACAACTAAATTTATTTTATATTCTAGTTTGACAATTAGAAAAAAAATATTTTTTAAATATAATCTTATCTCTATTTTTTATCTGATTATGTTTTTTTAAGGTATTACAAAATAGAGTAAAAAAAAATTTTCGATTAATATTTAAATTTTCATGTCTTCTTCATGAGTGTGATTAGAATATGGAATATTATTTGAATGAATCAAAAATTAATTAAAACTATTTTTTATTAACTAAATTTGTTTCAATTTCGTTTCACTATTTGAATTTCCCGCTCTTTCTAGTAACTTTCCGTCGATAACGGTCGAATTCGGTGAATTTTGAATAATTTATCCGCCATATTGGATCCTCCATCTTGAATTTTGCAATTCTGTCATCAAATTCGTAATCAGCGACCCCGGAAACCCCTGGGCACCAAGTTTGTAGCTAATTCCTCAGGTTTTTAAAAAGTCAGTCGCCATATTGAATCCGCTATTTTGAATTTTACAATTCTGACATCAAATTCCTGATCAGCGACCCCGAAAACCCCTGAGTACCAAGTTTTAAGCGAATCCGATCATTTTTTAATTATTCGGCCGCCATATTGGATCCTTTATTTTGAATTTTGAAATTTTAACGTTGGATTTATAATCAGCAACCACAAAAACCCCCGAGCAACAAGTTTGAAGTTAATCCGTTGAAATTTTGAAAATTTGTCCGCCATATTGGATCCGCCATTTTGAATTTTGTGAATCTGACATCAAATTCGTAATCAGCGACCCCGAAAACCCCTAAGCACCAAGTTTGGAGCAAATCCTTCAGGTTTTTAAAAAGTCAGCCGCCATATTGGATCCGCTATTTTGAATTTTGCAATTCTGACATCAAATTCGTAATCAGTGACCCCGAAAACCCCTGAGCACCAAGTTTTAAGCGAATCCGATCAGTTTTTAAAAATTCGTCCGCCATATTGGATCCGCCATTTTGAATTTTGCAATTCTAACAGCAAATTCGTAATTAGCGACCCCGAAAACCCCTAAGCACCAAGTTTGAAGCAAATCCTCGAGTTTTTTAAGATATCAGCGGCCATATTGGATTTTGTGAATCTGATCCCGAGTAGAGAGTTTGAGACAATGTTTGGTACATTTTGACTTTTGAAAATGCCAGTGTCCTTATGAAAAGAGTGAAAATGCAAAGTAGTTAAATGAAGAGACATATATTTTTTTTAGATAGAGTGAAAAAGAATTAGAGTTTCCTGAAGAAAAACAATCTTATACGATATTTTTATTGGAAAGCCAAAGAAGCAAATTGCGTCGCCTATTTTTTATCAGTTTAACTTTGAAAATCCGGGAAAATGAGTCAGAAATAATAATGCGAATGGTGATGTTCTGGAAAGGTGCAAGGGTGTTTGAAAGTTATGGATACTGCCGCCACTCCAAACGTGGGATTTTGTGGCGTCAAATCCTTAGTATATCCGGTGGCTCCTTCACTGAATTTATTTTTAATGAAGTGGTACCGCGCGAGTTGTTGTTTCTATAAAATACAATGCTCCATTCTACCAAATTCAGTTTCTGTCGTTTTTTTTACGGCTAGAGAGAGAGAAAGAAATGTTAGGTATTATAATACTCTTCAAGAAGGAAAAAAAAGAAAAGATTTGGAATGGGTTTTGGTTCGATGAAATAAGAGGGAGGACGAGAAGTAGAAAGAAAGAAAATGGGATTTTGTCAGTTAAAACGAGAGAAAGGTTAGAAAAAAAGGCAAAAGAAGATTTGAGAACGCGCGTATATAGTGTGTTCGGTGTGGCTGGCGTAGGTGTGTGAGCGCGCACACGTCGAACAGTTGGAGGGATGGTGGATAATATAATGATGGCGTCGCCTGAAAAGGAGGGGCGGGGCTACGAGGGGATCAATATTATCCTCCTCTACTCCGTTCGTCCCGCGACCCTCACGGGGATCCCTCTCTTGTTCACTATCACAACCACCCTCTCATTCGCCATCTCACTTCCGCTCTTCCTTTAGCTATTCTTCTCCATCTTCTTCTACCTCTTCCATCCTCTTCCTTCCTCAACATTCAAACCGAAAAGACTCGATTCACATTCTGAATTCCAAACCGCGGAAAAACTTGTTCAACTCATACCAACTCTGATTCCAAACTATATACCACTTAGGATTCACTCTCTATATCTAGAGACCCTAGGAATACGTGCGAAAAAGTTCTTTCTGGTAAGAAAATGGAAAGATTATTCTATGTGTGAGGAAAGTTTAACTAGGAATGTAGAAAGCCGGAAGTTTTAGGTCTGATAGTTAGGAGTCGATTTATGTACTTAGGTTACTTTTCTGATGAGTATTCATAATTAGGAGCTGATGATAGGAATGTTTGTGGCCCTGGTTATAACGAATTCCTTAGGACATTCTCGGGACCCACTTGGGACTGGCTTAACAAAAACACAACGGAAATTCAAACATTTGCATGTATTTCATTAGCATCAGGACCACCAACATAAGAGCTTCGCGTATAGGAGACGGAAGACTCAGTATATTCTACCAAGGATCTAAAATAATTTCATAAACCTTGGGAAATCTAATGCAGAAAGGCAGGAACACAACAATCCATTGAATCATTTCAATATAATAAATATCCTTAGGTCCTGGATTAGGAGAAATGTCCAGGGCAATGTCGTACCCTAGACAGTTTAGAACATTCTTAGAATAAGACATCAGACCACTCACCAAGAAATGTGGAATAATAATCAAAAACCCTTTTCATCTGCCTGAGAAATATTTGTCACTTGCTGACGTCTTGACCAAATAATCCTCCTCCGATTGTTTGACCTCCGACCCGACAATGCAGAGGATCAGTTCGAGTGTGATCGGGAATCCATCTATAGTATACTCTCGAATGGGACAATGACACGGGAAAGTTAGTAAAGGGCTGAGTGATTGATGAGGCTACCGATCGCGGTCTCTCATTACAGTTATATAAGCTTCCGTTAGATTGAGCCATCCTGAGGCTTACACGGTGACCGAACGGGGGTTCGTGATTCGATGAGGTTTTATTGCTCGCTTGACGTGACGCGGAGACTATTGTTTGGCCGGCTTCACTATTGCAGCCCAGGAAAACATTCGATTCGATTTATTGCACGTCCCATACCCAACTCACGCTCGTTCATTATCACCAGCAGAGATTTTCTATTAAATTGACTCATCTCTAAAAATGAAAGATACGCAATCAGGAGGAAAATATTTTCCAATCAGGACTCGTCCTGATTGCTTATCTTCTTTTTCGATTAGTAATTTTCAGAATAGAGGAAAAATTTATCAAAAAAAGTTCATTCATCAGGTTTATAACCTACGAAACGCCATTACTTGTCCTGGTGCAGAGATTTTGTGATGTCGTTAAAGTTTACGGGTGCGGTCTTGCGTGTGCGAGACTCGAATCCCCTTCCAGCCTCTGTGTGGCTGTACGTATACCTCCAGAGGAGTTTATTGATTCTCGAGCGGCGGCATTTCCCTCACTTGCATGTTTGGCCTCTCTTCTTCAGTGGATTTTACAACCTTGTGTTTACCTATATTTCTGATGTGTTTAGTTACAATCACTCTTTGAAAACTGAGTAGGTAATCAAGTTATAAAATTGTACCAAAGGGGGAATTGTAATACAGGGTTGTAACAATCAATATGTCTTAAAAAATGAGTTTTGTTGACATTTTTACAACTGGAGAATTTTATACTTTTGTTTCTCATGTGTACTTACTTACACATGAGAAAAAGAAGGCTTTTGCTAAAAAAGGTCTAGACATTATTCTTCATTAGCTTCTACCCCAGTTTCAATGACTCGTCGCGCCTCTTAGCGTTTCCGCAAGGTGATCGTTGGACCATCCATCTTGCCAAGAATTCCCTCGCCTTCCATTCTTCCTCCCGTGGTTTCGATGGTTTCTTCCCCGACCTAGCTTTAACGGAGGAACCCATCGCTTTTCCGTTCCTTGTCTTATAGTTACGCGAGAGCGACGTGTATATCTGAGCGCAACCACCCGTATAATTGTTGGGGGGTGAGAGTTGGTAGCGGAGAGGCTGTGAGAGTAAAGAGGCGGGTAGTTGAAGGGTGAACCCTGGGCTGTCCGGAGGGTGGAAACGACTGACGGAGTTGGAAACCACCCTTCTTGTGTACGTGTGCTCTAGAGAGCAAGAGGGAGCGAGAGAGAGAGAGAGAGAAAGAGAGTTGGTATCGAGCGCCAGTGCTGCCTTGAATTAACGCCGTCATATTTCAGGATAGGAGCGAGCTCGAGGGGCTTCCTTGCCATTTGTCTCGGTTGCTCCGCCAACTCTCTCTCCTTGCTTTGCCTTGCCTTGTACATGAGTAATACTCCGAGGACGATTCGTATAAATCTGACAAGAGTAAGAAAGAAGGCGATATGAACAGACAACTACCTACGAATCACGATTATTATTTGCCTTCGCTCGCTTCTTTTCTTTTGCAAATAAATTTCAATTTTCAACGAAATTCTTTTGTTGAGGATAAATCAATCCTCATCCTGTTCGTGAGACTTTTTATCAGGAAATTATCTAAATTAATTATTTCAAGGTGTAATTCCGTTCATTTATTTACACGGTGTCTAAAAAAGTGGTTATAATCTCAAACTGTCAAATTTAATATGAAAATTAGAAAGGAAGACGAGAATGTCTTTTTGCATATCTACTCTTTTCATGTAAGGAATTCATTTATCAATAAATGCCAATGCGACTGCAACTAACTGCTTCTCCATTTCATTGGGCACCTGTCTTCTAGCATTCTAGACATTGTCCCCCTAGAGAAAACAAAATTACTGTTTTCCTCAGAATCCTTTCGGGGCAGTCCACTTAGAGCCTTAAAATATTCCGCCCTGGCAACTGCCTATCTGGTTGTAATCATTTAATCTGTTTTCTAAATTAGAAAGAGGGATACCAACAAAAAAACTAATCGAAACAATATTTGTGTTACAGGTATGGTTCAAGAACAGGAGAGCAAAATTCAGGAAGCGTGAACGAGTGATGGGTACAGCGGCACAGCATGAATTCCGACAAGCACTTGGTACAGGTTCTTTGAATAGTTTCATACCCCCATCATTTCCGGATCCGGAATCCTTGTACAATTACAGTCCCTACAATAATTGGCCAAAGGTCCCGTCACCCCTGAACACAAAAAGCTTCCCCTGGCCCGTGAATACTCTGGGTTCGGTTGTACCACCAGCGTCCCATCATCATCACCATCAAGTGAATCCAGTCAATTGCTTCAATTCCGCGACATCATTGGCCGGAACTCACGTGAGTGGTATGTCCATGTCCGTTGGTCAGGCAGCAACATCAATAATTCCAGGAATGGGCTCAAGTTTAGGTGTCGCCAGTTCCCCTGTCGCGGCAACTGGAGCGACCTGTCCCTACGGACCACCGACTGCTTCCCATCCATACGGACCTCCAGTGTACAATTCCCATCACCGAACAACCGCTCCCACGGAACCCTATACAACAAGTATCGCAACCCTTCGACGCAAGGCCAAGGAGCACAGCAGTGGCTACTGCAATAATTTCATCACAGGTGTGAGTAACAGCACAAATACCGGAAGTATAAGTCCGGTCAGCTCCAGGACATCATCAGGAGGTGGTTTGAGTGCCTGTCAATATGCTCTAACAAGCGGTACCACCAATGCCCATTCTCCAGTACCAGAACACGCGAACACAACAGCCAGAGCTCAAGTTTGAGGAGAAGTGGGGGCTGCCAGCCCCCAGCATCGAGTGGTTGCTTCATCGACAACATCTAATTCATTGAGTAATAGTCAAGTTGTCGGTGGTACCACTACACAAAATGAGGATCCCCTACGTGAGACGGAGTGACACAGGCCTAGGTCCGTCGCATCGCCTGCCTTATCATCGACGCCCTCATCGATGGCGTCGCCTCAGCATTATCTCGTTTATGACGAGGAGGGCACCACGACGGATCATAAAATGGAGGACGATCGATTGGACCTAGGAACGGAAACTGTTGCAGTCTCAGCAAATCCAGGAACTGGTATCGGAGTTGGTCTTGGTCTTGGAGTCGGTGGTTCTGGAGCCTATACTGGCGGTGGATTCGCCGGCTACTGGCAACACTCCACAACAACTGGATATTTACCGATATTCGACTGGGGTTCGAATTCCATTGCCGGAACTCAATCCTTAGCTTTTCCCAAAGACGAGAATCGAAGTCAATGAAATTTAAAATTCCTCACTTTTATAGCAGAGTGATCAGTTAAATTTTTTGACGATCTGATTCTATCATTCAAATTCTGTAACAGGGTTGCCACAAAAATTTAATTTTGTCCTGACTTTTCCCTGATTTCCAGATTTTTTCCTCAATGATTTTGACTTTTTCCCTGACCCGAAATGATTTACTCTAAAAATTATTGGATAATCCAAAAAAATGTTCTATTACATTTATTTGTGAATTTCTTCAAATGTAAAATTATTCAAAAACATCAATAAATTCTTTTTTAAATAAATATTTAATCATTATTATTTTTCTATTGGAATTAGGATTTTAAAATGCAAACCTTCTGAAATCCAATGACTTATGAAAATATTATTACAGAACACGAAGAAACTGATCAATCCGAGTCTTCGACTCGGAGTGATCTCCTTCTTCGTGTTTTATGATAAATTTAAGATGACAGAGTGATAAAATCATTATTTTATATCATAAGAATATTCTAACTATCAATTCAAATTTTCAAAGATTTTAATTTTCAGCCCTTTTCAAAATTCAATTATTTCTAAAAATTCAAGCTATAATAATAATCTTAATATTCAAAATATAATTTAAAATTTTAAGTAAAATTCATTATTTAATCAATTTTTATTAGAAAACTTTTCGAGAATTCAATTATATAAATACAAAAATAAATAATTTATTAAATAATTGAATATTTCTTATAACTGAATTTTTATGAAGAATTTTATCAAAATTTTTAAAAATAATTGAATTCTTTCGGCGAATATAAAAAAAAATTCTAAGAATAAATGCAATTTTCTAGCATTTTATTTAAAATTGTATAAAAAATAATTTAAATTCTGCAATAAGTTCTTGTTATTTATGAAAATAATTGAATTCTTGCAACGAACTTTATTAAAATTTTTTTTAAAGAATTGAATTTCTGTGAAGAATTTTATTTGTGAAAATAATTGAATTCCAAAGTAAAATATTATTTATCAAAATAATTAATTTCTTGTGACGAATTTTATTCAAATTTTTTAAAAATAATAATTGAATTTCTCAGAATTTTAAAAAAATTTTTCAAAAAAAAATTAAATTCCATCGAGAAATCCTGTTTAAAAAATTGAAAATAATTAAAATGTGACGAAGAATATTATTAAATTTTGTTTTAATTAATTGAATTCCTGTGAAAATGTTGATTTTTAAAAATAATTGAATTCTTGGGAAGAATTTTATTAAAAATTCTTAAATAATTCAATAGCTTCGAAGAATTTTATTTGTAAAAATAATTAAATTAAAAAAAAAAATTATTTATGAAAATAATGAATTTCTTGTGAAGAATTTTATTCAAATTTTCTTAAATAATAATTGAATTTCTCAGAATTTTTAAAAATTTTTTGAAAATAATTTAATTCTATCGAGAAATTTTATTAAAAAAATTGAAAATAATTAAAAATAATTGAAATCTGATAAAGAATTTTATCAAATTTTATTTAAATAATTGAATTCCTGTGAAAATGTTTATTTTTGAAAAGAATTGATTACTTGAAAAGAATTTTATTAAAATTTTTTTTAAAATAATTCAATTGCTTCGAAGAATTTTATTTGTCAAAATAATTGAATTCCGGAGAAAAATATTATTATTTATAAAAATAATGAATTTCTTGTGAAGAATTTTATTCAAATTGTCTTAAATAATAATTGAATTTCACAGAATTTAAAAAAATTTTTTGAAAATAATTAAGTTCCATAGAGAAATTTTATTAAAAAATTGAAAATAATTGAAATCTAAAGAAGAATTTTATTAAATTTTTTTTAAACAATGGAATTCCAGTGGAAATGTTGATTTTAAAAAAGAATTGAATTCTTGGGAAGAATTTTTATTCAAATTTCTTAAATAATTGAATTCTTGTGAAAAAGTTTATTTTTGAAAAAAATTGAATTCTTGGGAAGAATTTTATTAAAATTTATAAAATAATTGAATTGCTTCGAAGATTTTAATTTTTTTACGAAAATAATTAAATAGTTTCGAAGATTTTTACAAACAATTTTTACAATAATTTTATTCCAAGAAAAAATGTTATATTTTATGAAAATAATTGTATTCCTTGATCAATTTTATTATAATTTTCTTAATTTATAAAGCATTTAACAAAACTTTTTAAAATAATTGAATTTTCGAGAAAAATTTTATTATTTATGAAAATAATTGAATTCTTGCGAAGAATTTTTTTTAATTTTTTTTAAATAATTGAATTCGCATAAAAAATGTATTATATGTGAAAATAATTGAATTTTTAAGAAGGATTGTATTAAAAATTTTTTTAACTAAATCTTGTAAAGAATGTTGTCAAAATTTTTTTAAGTAATAGAATTTGTAAAAGATTATTATTTAAATTTTTCGAAATAATTGAATTTCTTAGAACTATTTTTTTTCAATGAAAAATAATTGAATTGGTTCGAAGAAATTTATCAAAAATTGGTAAGTAATTGAAGTCCTGTGAAATTTTTATTAAAATTTTGTTTAAATAATTGAATTCTTTTGTAAAATGTTATTAAAATAGTAGATATTAAAAACAATTGAAATAATTGAAATAATTTCTAAGTAATAATTTTATGACATAGTTCTTGAAGAATTAAGTTATTTAAAAAGAAATTATTGTCAGAAATAGAAAAAATTGAAGGTTTCGTATTAGAATTCTTGACAATTTCATAGTTTGAGGCAAACAAAAATTACTCTAAAATTCAGAATTTTCTTATAAATTCTAAAAATTTAATGTTTTTTTAGTACTTTTTATAAAAATCCCTGACTTTTCCCTGACTTTCCTGATCTGTGGCAATCCTGTGTAATCTGAATTCAATTTCTAACGGTGGAAAATATTTTAATTTTGATTAGAAAACTTCCTCTAAATTTTGTTTAGAAAAACGATTTTTCGCTGGTAACAAGTGAAAACAGGAACCGAATTATCTCCACAGAATAGATTCTCATTATTGAAAAATTTCTTTGGATAAAATGTGGATAAAACTAATAAATTTCCACTTTCAATACCTAATCATCCGAAAGTTATTTAATATGTAGATTTTTCATAAGAGATGATGTGCACGCGACTGCTATTTAACTCTGACTGTGATGATTGGGTTAAAAAAAAAAACTCATAAAAATCGAATAAACGGTGCGTAATTTCACACCAAAAATCCTTGAATTTCTTCCTAATGCACTTAATCTTTTATTAGGATTATTTAAATATAAATCGAAACTATATCAGGAAAAGTTACGATATAAAGCTGTCGTATATTGGCTTGTAAAGATCTTTTTCGCGAAATCCTGTAGATAATTGTATAGTAGACATTAATTATATATGAGATTCGATGAATGTATACTAAATTGTTACAATTTTAACATTATGATAATAATGTTATTCAGCAAATACCAAAAGAAAGATGAGATAAAAAAGAAAAAAAAGCACATTTTAGAATTAAGTTTTCAATAAAGAAAAAAAAATAACGAGTTGTATCATCGTATGATGGTGGAATAATAATTGTACAGGAAATTACATAATATTGGTTAGATAATATCGTATAAATATACTATATAATATCAATATCAGTAAATATAGTTATATATAAAATAATATAAATACATATACATAATATATTGTAATCCTTATAAAATAGCAGCGACGATATCAGCGGTACCTTGCGTTCTTATTTGCGGATAATGTATTATCCGAGGATAATTTTCGACAAAGCTATGTAAAAAGAACTTGTATGAATATAATTCTAGTATGTGCGATCTAATTGAGAAAAATAAAAATCGATTACGACTGATATTCTATTATTTATTTCGGAACATTCATTTATTGTTAAAAATGCTTGTAGTTATTTTTTTTAACTATAAAGCTTTTAAGTCTTTTTAAAATTTTTAAGCCTAATTTTATCAAATTACTAGCTTATATTCTAAAGAAAATAGTCATTAATTTAAATTAGCAAACATTTTTAAATCGGTTTTTTAATTTAAATCAAATTTTTTCTCTAAGTTGTTTTTTAGTAAAATGATAATAAACAATTCTAAATTTCAATAAAAAACTATTACATTACAAAATGAAGGCTCAACTACTAAAATTTACTATTTACTACTTTTTTCACGATCTGATACTATTTGGATATTTTTTTTAAAAAATGTTTGACTCTAAAATCTACTTTTTTCTATGGTTTAAGAATTTTTACTAGTTTAATTTCACTAATAATTTTAATAATTTTAATTTTAATAAAATTCTTTCTAACAATTCAATTATTTTTAAAAATTTTCAAAATTCGATTATTTTCAATATCTAATCTTTTTTAATAGAAAATTTCCCAAAATAATTCAATTATTTAAGAAGAATTTTTATAAAATTCTATGTAAACATTTTCAATTATTCAAGACAATTTCAAAAACATTTCTTGATGGAATTTAATTATTTTCAGAAAGTTTAACAAAATTTGTTAATATAATTAATTTATTTTTTAAAATTATTATAAACTATTTAGAAAAATTCAATTATTTTCAAATTTCAATAAAATTTCCCAAAAAAATAAAATTCCGAAAAGAATCCAATTATTTAAAAAAAATATTAATAAAAATCGACACAAAAATTCAATTATTTTTATTAGTTATAAAATTCTTCGGAAAAATTCAATTATTATTAAAAAATCTTGTAAAATTCTATGGAGAAATTCAATTACTTTAAATATCTACTATTTCAATGAAATTTTCTAAAAGAATTCAATTATAAAAAAAATGTTAATAAAAATCGTCACAAAAAATCAATTATTTTTAAAAGTTATAAAATTCCTGGGAAAAATTCAATTATTTTCAATATCTGATATGTCAATAAAACTTCCCAAAAAATAAAATTTCGAACAGAATTCAATTATAAAACAAAAAATGTTAATAAAAATCGTCACAAAAATTCAATTATTTTCATAAGTTGTAAAATTCTTGGGAAAAATTCAATTATTTTCAAAAAATCTTACAAAATTCTTTGGAGAAATTCAATTATTTTCAATATCTACTATTTCAATGAAATTTTCTAAAAGAATTCAATTATAAAAAAAATGTTAATAAAAATCGTCACAAAAAATTCAATTATTTTCATAAGTTGTAAAATTCTTGGGAAAAATTCAATTATTTTCAAAAAATCTTACGAAATTCTTTGG